GTTTGGTAAAAATTTGAAACGCTTTAAAAAAAGGCCAACAGACAACAAAACACATATTTTAATAGCAAAAACATACCCATCTAATTCTGCTCTTGCTTAGTAAATCAGGCTCAAAACAAGATCAAAAATACTTTTTAACTGGAGAAAAGACTGTAAGACTTGATTAGATGGACAATTTTTGAACTGTAATTTTATCTCATTAAAATGAATACAGTGGATTCCTGAGTAGGTGCTTGTGTGGCTAAAAGCTTTATTTAAATTAAATGTGCACCAACATTTGTGTCTGTGTTCAATTAGTGAATTGGTCAATGAAATACAAGCATCATTCTAATTGTAGTAATGCATTAATTAAATATTTTTACTTGGATTGCTTTTCAAAAGAGCATCTTTTTTTATAACCTCTTTCAAACTGCAGCTCATTTAATTATGTTGCAGCTTAACTGAAAATCTTTTCAAAACCATTTCAAGCAAAGTTTTTGACATTTATTCTTGAACTGATTTGTCTTAGGGAGGTTTTAAAAGTAATAAATGTGCAACTTTTGATTTTGAGAGGGAAACCTTTGCCATTCTCAGTCAGACACGTTACCTTTCCAGTTATACGTCCCTGGAGCCCCAAACAGGATGAAGTTATTGTCTGGAGTGAAACTAACAGACAGGCCCTGCTGACAGAAACCAAACTGCTCGTGTCCCTGAGGTCGACCCTCGCAGAACTTCCATTCTCCTCCATCCAGTTCGTCTCGCTTCGTCAGGTCATCACTCAGGACGTAGCAGCGTCCGATGGGGTCTCGAGTTTCTGAAGGTTGTTTCACTCGTTGCCTCAACTCGTACAGGTGGGCGCAGGTCTTGTGAGAAATAAGAAATGACGTGTGTGAGAACCCAGCTGCATACAGTTTGACATTTAATGATTGTGAATTGTTACAAAATGAAAATTATTTTAGGAGTTTACTGGCTTGTGGATACTCCTGTACTTACCACCACCTTCCCACCAATCCCCTGACTTTTGACTGTAACTCCAAGCCACTGGTTGTCTTTACTCTCTCTRTCCAGATTTACTGAGTGAAAACACAGAAAGAAATGTCAGCATTACTGATGGTTGAAAATCCACTGAAGCTAAGCTCAGATTTAGAAGATGACATTTTTTCATGCAATACTATTAAGATCCAAATGCTTTTAAATCTTTACAAGTCAAATAAAATTACCACAYATCCTGTGGCCAGATTTAATAGAAATGGAAATATGGTACACCAGCACAAATAATCACTATGTCTTGCACAAAAACAAAAAAAAAAAAATAATGTTAGAAAAATTAAAACAGGATTAAAACTGATTTCTCTGAGCCAAAGTCGTCAAGTTCAAGGTGTTGTTTTATTTTTTAACAATCAAAAGTCAGTATTCCCTAAACTGATACCCTAAATAACAAAGAAAATACTTAAAACAGTTGGTTTTACTATCAAAACTGGTAACGTAGATCCTTCAACACAGGAAGCTTTGTTTCAGCTGAGACACAAACTCACTGTCTTCATCGATGTCGACCCTCTCACAGTCGTACTCCTCGGGTGTGATTGGACATCTGAAAAGGGCTCCTGGTCGACTTCCCCTCAGCAGACCCTGTCCTGCTGCCTGGGGTGCCCCCACAAGGATCCTACACAAAATGCAAYATATTTAAGGTCTATTATTTTAAATGTAGTTATAAATGTATCCATAGTAATAGGCTTTAATCCATTCAAACTGCCGCCGTGCAGCTCTGGAGAAACTCCTGAATTCTCATAAAAGTGACTTTAAATTTAAATTATCTCAGCTAAACAGATTTTTTTTCTTTTTTGTCTTTGCTGTTTTTATCGTGCATCACAGCCATCAATCAAAACAACAACAACCGAGGCTAGGAAAAGTTTTATTTTCAGTGAGGCGGTGGCTGATATTTTGAGGCCAGTGTCACGGCCCTCTGCCATTTTAGGAACAGCTGATTCGGGCAAGGATGCTATTTAAAAACWGAGCGTTGAGCTTCATTCCACCCAACACCGTCAGCCGTGGCACAGGCATGACAGCAGGAAGCACAGGAAACAGAGGCAGAGAGAGGAACGAAACACAGAACAGAAAACAAAACAGAAACGAATTCTAAACTTAATTTGACGATAATCACCTAACAGATCTTACTGTGGAAATCACAGTGCAGGTCAGCTTAACTTTCTATTTTCTACTCTGTTGAGGTGCAGCTGTGGTGCCTCAAGAAGGATTCCTCACCACCGCACCAACAGTACATCTGGAGGTGGGGGTGTGGGTGTCAGGGTCTTTATTCCCGTTCCCCGACTGCCATTTGGGGAGGGGGTCCTGAAGAAGGGCGGACTGCCGGGTGCGGTCCTGGGCTGTGGGTGGGCTCGGGTCTTGGACGGTTGCCGGGGGCGGGGCTGGCTCTCCATCCTCCCTGGTGCTGCTTGGTTTCCTGAGGTGTGGCTCTTGGTTCCTGTGGGTGGGCCCCTGGCCGGGGTGGCTGCCGGGTTCTGGGGAATGGACGGCTGGGGGGTGCACTTGGTCGTTGGCGGTGTGGTGGGGTGGTCATGGGTGTGGCTTCTCTATGGCAGGGGGCTGGCCGGGCGTCCTGGTGTGGCCCGGCCCGGGCTTTGGCTATCTGCTCCTCTCCACCTCAGAATGATTGAGTCTACCTCCTGGGTTCGGGTGTGTGCTGCCTCCAATGGGGGTGGGTGCATATCCTGGACATGGGGGTGTATAGAGTGTGTATCGGGGGTATGAGTGGAATGTGGCGTCCTTGTATGTCTTTGATTGAGTGGGGGGTGAGGATGAGGGTGGGATGGTGCGATTGTGTATGTTTGGGTATTTGTCAGGCTGTGGTCTGGGCTGCCCCTCCTGCTGGTTTATCTGGGGGCCCGCTGCTACTCAGCCCCCAGGTGGGGTGTGTGGCTGGCCGCCAGTGTGCTGGGGGTTCCTGGGGTCTGGGGCTGGGCGCTGGGTTGTGTGCCGGCCTGGCCTGGTGACTGCCTGCTGGGGCTCGGGGCCTCTGGCCCTGTCGGGCTTTGGCCTGGAGGGGGTACGCCCTGGGGGCCCGGACCTCTGTGCCCTTTCCTGGATCTACTCTGGTATGGTGGGTGCCGGTGGGACCCATGAGTTTGTCRCTGCTGGCCCCGGGGGCTGTGCGTGTGGTCGCTGGGGGGACTCTCCCAGTTCTCCCCTATGGTCTGATCTGGTTGTTGGGTGGGCGGACCTTCCCGTGCGGGTGCCCCTTGGGGTTCTGCGCTCGGGATCCCTCTCGGGCTCTTGGGCTCTGGTCTTCCCTATGTCTTCCTCGTGTCTTGGGGTTTGGGTCTCCAATCCTCCACAGTCACTATTAAATATTCCATTGGAGAAATCTTGTAWATACACACATGTTCACAACTGCTCACAGACAGGTGTTCTGATCCTGGGGGTTCTGACTGGTCACTGAGTGTGTATATGTGTCTGTGTGTATATACTGACAGCATGTATGAATGTAGGCATGTATGTATGTATATCTTTATATATGTATGGGTATGTGTATATATATGCCCTCCATGTATTTATCCATTTATTTTTCAGGTGAGCGGACAGATGTTGGGTGTGTGGTCCTGTGTTTTGTTGGTGTATATTTAATATACTTCTAATCGCTATTTCAATCTTTCTAATTACTTCTCTCACTGTTTTTCTCTCAGTCTCTATTTTCTCTTCACTTATAAAAAAGTCACTGATGATGAAGAAATAAATAAACTAAATAAACTAATATTTGGTTTCGTTTTCTACTGAAGTGACACAAAAAAGAACGATTCCTCACCTTAATGAGCAAAAACCCACAGCAAAGACAAGAGCCTAACAATGATGCTGCTCATCACTTGAGAAAAAAACCAGTAAACAGGATAAAGCTTGACACAAATGCCTGTCGGAGGAAGAGGATGAGACAAATGATCAAAAAACTGATAAAATCCACATTTGACATTCCATGTAAGTCTACTTCATGTTTTGTGGTAAAAAATAATACCTCTTTTGTTCCCACACGTACGTATATGCAGGTGTCAGGATATCAGGCTGGAACATACCACCATTATTTGGAGAAGAGATAAGATGACTTCCAACATTTCTTTAACCACATAAACCCGAAGGAGTGAAATTATTCATCCTGGAGGTGACACTTCATACGGAATAAAACTTGCATTAATCTTCCCTAGGCCTCGGGGTTCAAGTTATTTTTGCTATTAAGGGATATCATCTTCATACTGCACTCAAAATCTAAATAATAAAAGAAAAAATGTACATAAACCCTCTTGTTTCAATATAGTTTCATCTCTAAATCAAGCTGATATTAAATTTCTATCAAAGCAAGTGTGGTCACAGAGAACAAATTGGAAACCTAAAATGTTAAAAATATATTTTATTTCCACTTTTTTTTCAATTTTCTGAAGCTTTGCAACTATCAAACTATTAAAACAAACATGAAGAATAAAAGAATCAACTTAAATCTGCTGCTTCTCAGCACTTGCCCTCAAGTTGACACATAAAACATCACAGCTGAGTAATACTTTCATTTATTGGCTCTTCGTATGATAAGCCAACGTCATCATTGTTTAAGTTGACACAGATCATCTTCTTGTAAATCCACGTTGGGGTGTGTGGTTTTTTAATGGTGTGTCACATGGTGGGAATGTTCTCAGCGCAGACTGAACCTGGAGAAGATACGGTATCAGGGTGTCGAGTATGACGACAAGGGTGATTAATAAAGTCAATCCTGATGCCACAAAGTCAGCACTGGCTTTCATGTGAGAGCGTTTGTGGATTACAATGCCAGGATGAGCTCACAGATTAGATCAAGGACCTGTTCTCTGTCCGTTGGTCCCGTCGTGTCTGGCAAACTGATTAAAACAAGACTAGACGTGTTTCTAAACTCAGCAGAGCATATAAGCAGCTTTAAAAAGCTGATGTTATTTCATTCTCACCATTTTGGATTGGCATCAAACCTGAGGATCAATAAATGGCTGTTGTATCTGGATCCATACAAAAAAATAAAGTGAAAGAGTTAACAAATCTGATTTTAAATGGAAATACAGATTAAATAAATTAATATCACCCACTGAAGTTGATTAGCTGTGGGAGCCATCTTGGATTAATTCCAAAATCAACTTTGTTGTAAAAGTAAACCTATATCCAATGATTTATCTGTGACAACTAAAAGTATAATATATCCATTGCTTTATGTTATCTTTTACTAAGAGAACTCGAACAAATAACTGTTTTCATGTGCACACGCACACATACACACTCCACACACACCAAACACTTCCATTATTGAACAAGGGAAAAAAACGTAATGAAGCAGCAAAAGACGCAACCAGTCAGATAAATGGCACCATCTGTCATTTTTTTAATCACGTAATGAGATTATTTAAAGATAAAGTAGAAAGGAAGACATGGTTAAATTAGTGCAATCTACTTATATGATGTTTGATTTGTGATTTATGGTCAGGGGGTTGAATATATATGCACAAGCTATTCACAAAAATAAAATAAAATAAAATCTGCTACCAAAATTATGTGCTCAAATATTTCAACACACTTCTAAAACTGCTTCAGTTTGCCTCTGCAGTTATTTGTGATTTATAACCCCTGCTCCATCTCCACAACAGTCTTAAATATTTTTGTAGTCGATCACCATAAAAACAACACACACACTCAGCACACAGATGTGTTCACTGAGAGGAGCATGTGCAATGACCCCAACACTTTCTCTTTATAATCCCATCCACCCCTCCCCCACTTCTTTACCCTCAGCACACCGTCTTATACACCTCTCAACACACACACACACACACACACACACACACACACACACACACACACACACACACACACACACACACACACACACACACACAC